AGAAAAATTAAAAACTGGCCCGGGCCACCTTCCTAGAAATAACCGGTTCGTTAATTGGACTGAGACCAATAGGACCGAACTGTTGACCTTCACTAATCCTTTTTAATACTTCTTTTTTTTTAGTTTTCATTATTGTAACTTTCTTTTATAATTTTTTAAAAATCAAATATCTTGATAATCACATTATAAAACAATGAATATTGGTTGGTTACTTTTAGCTATGCCGATCTATAAATTTTTTACTATCCGATATTACTACAAAATGCCGATCTGATATTGATATTGTTTTTTATTTACTATTTTTGAACCTGTCATAAAAAAGTCAAATGTTTTATATTCAAAAATTAACTCTCAACTAATTTTTCTTAAATGATTAGATGTATTATTTTTTTTATTCTCAAAAAGTTAATAATCTTATATAAATATTGGCAAAGTTTTTGATTGAATGGAATTTTATAAAACTCCTCGATTTAACCTATTTTAAAAACGATAAATCAAGATTTTAGCCAAAATATTATTACTTATGCCTCAAAATTCCGACTCGATGTCCAAGCATTTTTACCATCTATTGGCAAAATCTCCAAACTTGAGTAATTTTTTTTGGATAAAATCTTGAGTTAGACCTTTTTTTTATAAGCGGGTTAGAGCGTTTAACGAGTAATATCTGAATGTGACTCGTTAAATATTTTTATACATATAACATCATTTTTGGCCACTCTATCTTTTGTATTATTATTCTGAAATTATAATTATTTTATTTTGTATTACCCCCTTTATATCTTATATAAATTTAATGTTCTAAAATCATTTTAATTTAAAAAAACATTAAAATCTGTTATCTCAAAATGATAAATACTGAATATTAGTAATTTACCTCCTATTTTTTTTATAGTCAATAGCATAGCGATATAAAAAAATATCTAAAAATACTAATCAATAAAAACTGATATTAATAATCGTTAAAATAGTTTGGTTTCAAACGCGTTCAATTTTCAACTGTTCGGTTTTGATTAAGAAATTAATAACCTTTCCGGTTTAGTTTCGATCGAGTTAAAACACCCATGGTATCATCAAAAAATAAAAAGCATCAGCTGATGCCATACCCAAGAACTTCTATTACTAGGGGAGTATATGGATAAGGCGCAAATTCGTCATGAAAATGGGGGGGGGGGGAGGTAAGTTTCGATTTTGGATTTTTTTTATATGAGTAATGATGCATATCTGCTTTTAACAATAATAATAATAAAATCAGTGGCGTAATCAGAATTTTCTCATGGGAGGGGGGTTTAAAGGGGGCTTCGCTCCCCAAACCTCCCATTTTTTACGAACGCTCAATTGCATAAATCTTAGGCTATGTTAAAATTATTTTAAATATTTGCATATAACAATTTTAGAGAGTTTTCATTATAGATTTTATTTATTATATAAAAATACTTTCCTTTATTTAATCATGTATTTGCTTTTATTATTTAAAATAAATTTCAAAATATAGATGTTTTATATATATAATAATATTAAAAAATTTATTGTATAAAAACTATTTAAAAAAATATATAATTTAACAATTACATAAAATATAAGTATGCAAATAATGATTTAAAAACATATGACAATATTATCAAAATATAAATAATACATCTTGTTTAAAAATAGTATTAATTGCATAAATTTTAAGAGTTAATACAAAGATTATATAAATGTTATAACTAAGAATTCATTTTACTAAAAAATTTGATTATAAATATTATATATTAAAACTAAAATAATCATATTGCAATGATTTGAATTTATAAAGAGAGGTCTACTTTTCTCTGAGATTTTGCTAATTCATTTAGAATCAAATTTTTATTTAGAATAATCTCCTTAAAATATTTATTAGGGCTAGCCCATTTAAACGTTTTTCACCGGTGGTTTTTAAAGTTAAAAATTGGTAAGGTAGCTAAAATAATTAACAATGTTTTGATATTAGGCAGGGAATCTAAAGTGCAATTACACATAGAAAGAGCCTGCAGAGCATTTTTTGGTCTCAAAGAATACATTCTGTCAAGATTTTTATACAAAATCCGGCATCACAAAGTATCTTATCATATAAGCCTACTAAATCATCAGCGTAAAACTTTAAGATAATCTTAATATCCTCCCTTGTTTCAAATGTAATTATCTGGTTAGACTCAACCGGAAAAAAGAAAATAAAAGTATTTTAAAAAAAATTAAAATCTTTCCTTTAATGAAATAAAAATATATCAATAAAGGGGAATAAAAATGTTTATTTTATAAAAATCCTCAATCGTAGATACATCAATATTTGAGCGATTGAATTGTCTAGAAACTGCTCTAGGTTTACAAATTTCAATCCCAAACATATTAGCAATCTCATTTACTCTCTTATATATTTCATGAAATTTTTCATCCACATTCTCTCTGATATGTTAATATTTCATCAATATCCTTTGCTCTATTCATAACCTCCCTTAAATCCCTCAGCATCTGCTGAATTTTTTTACTTGCTTGATATATAAAATTCAAGTGCTGCAAATACAACATCATATAATTTATTTAAAAAATATATAAATAATCAAATACTGCCAATTATTATTTATAACAAATTAAAAACATAAAAATAGTTGTTTATTAAATTTCAAGCATTTATTATCAATTTACTAAATTTAAATAAAAAAATAGTTTTAAAAAATTTTTTCAAGGCCCCTTCCCCCATGCCTACGTTACTGAATATATAATAATTAATGATAACCATACAAATATAGAAAATGATGATAATAATAACCCTTTTATCGGAGTTGTTCCTAAAATTATATTGAGAAAGCGAAATCTTAATATGACAATAATTTTACTGAAACAGTTTTCCTACCCTCCGCGTTTTTAATTAAAAATACAGCCAGAAATAAATTTAAGATGTATACTTATTATCACCGTACACAAACAAAAAAATCTTGTTTCAGAATTCCATAAAAAACATCATAATGAAATATAGCTACAATGTTGTATTGAAGCACACTCTTGTGCATTAAAATACATTTGTTGTGAATGTTAAGAGTGCAATATTTAATCGTTTAATTTTTTAAACAAATTTTTACTTTATATAGATTTCAAATATATATTCTTATATTAATTTTTTTATAAACAAAATAGATTATTTACAATTTTATTTATATAAGGATAATTTATTATTAATAATTTTCTGGGTTGCCTTATGCGCCCTGTATCTGACTATGTCCAATTGTCCTGTTTTTTTTAACTTTAAAATATTTGGAAAGTTTGAATTACTTTAAAAATTTAGCATAAATATTAGATATGGCTCGGTCTTAAGCCTGGCCCTGTTACATTAGCATAAATATCGGCAGGTGTTTTTTGTCTAAAAGAATTTTTTAAAGTCTAGTTGAATATTTTAAATCGCCATTATTATCTATAAAAATTAAAAATAAATAAAATATATTTAAAAATTGTATATCATAGAATAATATCACATTTATTCACTTATTTTACTATTTCGATTATTTCGATTCTTAGAAAATATTTCTAGTAAAATATTATTCAAATTAATCATTCAACTAATCATTATTTTAAGTGACTTTCAATCAAATTAAAAGCTTCAAAGATACACTCAATATTCAAAATATAATACACTTTTTAAGGGAAAAATTTGTTTTAGATAAGTATCATTTTATTTCTTCTTTTCTCGGTCCCAAATTCAGGCAATTACTTATACTGCCAGGGAGAGAGCGAAATGACTGAACCTATATAAATGAATATATTAAATTACAAGAGGAACAGGGATTAATGGAATTACCATCGACCAGTCGAATAGAAATGTGGTGATTCAAACTCACTCCTTTATGACAAATGAGGGAATAAGATAATTTGAAAAGTTATTATATGGATTTCATATTCGTTGAAAATCGATCTGTTAAATGAGGAATAGGTAATATATATTTTTTTTAAACGAAGGCCGTAGAAAAAATTTTTACCCTGGCCGAAAGAAATCCGGGTTGAAAATTTATTTAAAAAAAATAGGGTGGAAAATTTATTTAAAAAAATCAGGGCAGGGCGATTTTTTTTTCCAAATCTGCATGTCTGATAAATATTAAGTAGATAAATTAGTTAGATAGCGTTTGAAAAATTTAAGATTTTTCGTTAATATTTACTTAACACGTTTTACAAAGAACTACCCGAGGTGCCTCCATCTCTTTGAAATAAACTATTGAATAATGTAAATGGCAATCATTCTCTGTATATTTTTTATGAACCTGGCAGCTTGTGAAACAGGTCCGCCCATAATATCGTAAAATATTTTCAAAGGAATAATGCAAATTTCCAATTTACAACTAGTACAAAAAATATATTAATGATCGGGCAAAAAACAGATTAGGTAGGCCATGTTGATCTCTATGTTACATAGTTAATATTTTTGTAGAAAAATTAACCCTTGAAGTATAGTATTTTAGAAAGAAAACCCAACTCTCGCTATAACCCAAATTTATTATCCCAGCCATAGGCATATCTAAGATTTTCTTTAGGGGAACTTTGAGTGGCTTGCCATCCACTAATTTTTTGGAGGGCTATAGGCTCTATTGCGGGCCTCAAAATATTTTTTATAATACTTATATTTATTCTTGGGGAGAGGGCGGGGTAGGGATATCAATTTTATTTGCTTAAAATGATATTTCGAAACTTTGCAAATTTTCAATGGAATCCCTCCCCCTGGTTATTTGGCCTCGGTCACTCCTTACTATAATTGAGTAATTGTTATATTTTATGCTGTCGAAAAAAAGGCTAAGTTAAGTTTTAACCAAATCCATTAACTCCTCTTAAATTTTTTTTTTAAAAATATGGCTCTTAAGGAAATAAATTAATTAACTAACTTTCAATGCTTAGATTTTTTCACGACACGCACTTACAACAATAATTCATATTATACTTTTATTTAGTTAGTATAAATTTTCCCAACCTATTAAATTTAAAAATAATCTATAATTTTTAAGTGCAGACCACCGGGTATATACAAGCAAGAATATTTGAACGAACTATTTTCGCGCTTTGACTCCGAAATGGAAACTCCCGTCGCACCCGATATACCTGATTGGGGTTGGTCTTCTAAGGCTTTACTACAATTATATTCTTTTAATTTTTTTTTAAATTTATGCTTTGCAAACAGTTAAATCTTTTAAGTTATTCAAATTAAATCGTCCATAATAATAATCATAATTTTACATAATAAGGTTAAAAAATAAAAAATAGATTTAATATAAATATTTATTTGTATGTATGATGTATCCTTGAAGAAATATAATTTGATCAATTTCTTTAGAACTTCTTATTTATGTGATAGATTTGAAAAGTGTTACCGAACTAGGTATTGATGATGACAATGATGGTGAAGACGTACCTAACAATAATGTCTCCAACTCATTAACTACATCAGAATCAGATGCCTCTCAAGTTTTTGTTTTTGTTGAATTTTAATGATGATTAACACAAATTTATATCCAATCATTAAAGATTAATTCAATGTGCTGAATTAAAATTATGAAAAAATATAGGCTGAAAAAGTATTTTATTATTCCATTGTTATTTACATAGATATACTTTTTTTTAAAAACAATATGATTAAGAGTAAAAGCTCGTTATTTATGGAAGGCATAACTGGTATCGAACAAATCGTCAATTCTAAACAACTCTCTTCGTTACGCAAAATGTGCAAAGAAATGTGCGATTATAAGGGGTTACATTAAAATTTTTTAATAACAATCATTTTTTTTCAATCACAAGACAAGGTTTTCTTTTTAAAATTAGTTTGGTTTAAGTGACAATATTATTGTTCAATTATATAAATTAAATATTTATAAATTTAGGATTCTTACATTGAAGGATATTCGATAAAATTGAAAACTACTTCTATATATTCAAATTAAATATTGATTATTTATTGAATGGATAATGTTTTTTTGTAATTTTAATTACCTTAAGTTTATCAATAACAATTTAATTTATTTATTAATTTTTATTTTTAACTATTAATAAAGTTATATATATTTTTTTAAATGAATTCATGTATAAATTTTTTTCCCTTAGAAATTCTTTCCCAGGAAGTCAACCCGTTTCTATGCACATTCAAAATATAACTCTTTTATCACAAAAGCCTTATAAAGTTAGTTGGAAAGCCGATGGAATGAGGTAGGTTTAAACTAGAAAATATAATTTAACATAATTTCTATTTAGTTTGCTTTAATCTCATAAACTTGACTCTGATTTAAATACTTATGAGCAAAATTTATAAAACAAATCATCTAAACAATAAAAAAAATATAGTGATAAGTAGATATATTTTATATAATTTGCACATTAAATTGCTAATTTTATTTAACAAAATATGCCGAATTTCGCTAGGGTTAGTATAAGAGCCTTGCTTACATAATATCATTTTGGCTAAAATATTAATCGAGCCATTTTTAAAAATTGGCCATCGGGTCGGGTCGTTTAACAATACAAACCCGGCCTTGTCCAAGACATACAAAATGTCCTAACGATTTTTAGTCGAATTGGAATCGGGTGAGTTAATGTAGGGCATTAGTGACTTAGTATATATGAGATGGTTAATATTCCTTTAAAAAAATTGTTTTATTTTACTTGATATATTTTTTTAATGGATAGAAAATAAGATTAATTTTGATGATATATTTTTATTATAAATCAAAAAAATATCTTGTTCTTTTTTGTTATTTTCTATTCTTTTCTTCTTCTTAAATTTGGTATAAAAAGTGTTTAAATTTTTGTTATCCTCATGTAAAAACACTTGGAATAATCTAGACTTGACTCTCTAAGGGGGGGGTGGGGGGGGGGTGGCAAGCTCGGCATGCCATTTCATTTGAGCATGCATAAACTAAGCCATTTTTGTATATAATTTTGGTATTTATCGTGAATTTTTGCGTCTACTATGCATGCAGCTTTCAAAGCCAGAGATGCCACAATTCATGCTTCTATTAAAATATTTATTTAGTAATAAAAAAATTTGTGATGTCTTAGCTCTTAGATCCCCCCCCCCTTTTTAAAATGGAATTTTTATTATCATAATCTCAGAACCGTAACTAGGAATTTTTCTCGAAGGGGGGGAGGGGGATCTTTTTCCTTATTTTGATCAGAATTGTATTGCATTTTTCGTTATTTTTATGGTGAGTAAGCAGATTGTAATATGAATTAGGTAATAAAAAAAATATAAAAGCATAATTCATGTAATATTTCGCATCATTTTGTACATGAGAATTTATGTAAAATTATGGTTAATTTACGCAACACATATTTTTTATAATGGGGGGGGGGGTTAACATTTCGTGAGGAGGGGGCCCAAATGCCCGATAGTTATGGCCCTACTTTAAAATCAACTTCATTTTATATAATAATTTATTCTTTTTTTAAATAAAAAAAAGGTACATGATGCTTATTGACAAAGAATTTGTTTATATGATAGATAGAGATAATCGATATTTTAGGGTTCACAATTTAACTTTTCCTAAGAGAAAGCTACCTGATCAACTTATTGAAAACACACTCTTAGATGGGGTATATATGATAAAAGTTACATTTAAAATTATATAACTGAATTCATTCGATCATTTTAAAATAGTGTTGTAAACGAACGCGTTCAAGTTCGTTTTTTTTAAAAAAAATGATGAACGGCGTTCCTTTTATTTTTGACGAACTTTGAACGTAAACGCGTTCCTTTTTTATGACGAACGCGTTCGAATTTAACGTTCGTTCACTTTTAAAAATACTTTTTATTTTTATTTATTTGAAAAATTTATTAATCCGAATTTTTTATTTATATTTTTTAATCGGCTGTATTTCCTTTTTCACATTTCAATTTTTTTTAACACTCCATTATTATAGTTTATTAATTTTAATATTATTGTTTATATTTTAATTTAATAGATTAGCATAAGCATGGATATTATTATTTCATCATCATCATCTGATTCTGAAATTCAAAATCAGATGAATTAACATTACCATGGCCAATTATGATAAATGTTTTACAGTAACATCCTATATTGAAGGAACTAATTCAAGGCTTACCAAGTGCAAAATGTGCCCAAAGAGTATTATATCAGTGTCAAAATCTTTAAGTTCCAATTTAAAGCGACATTTAATTGTAATATTTTTTATTTTATATAATATAACTAAATAAAATCATTAAAATTGAAGAAAAAATGCATTTGGGCTATTTGACCCCAACAATAACGATAGTTATTTTAAAATTAAAAAAATTATTGGCCTCAACCATTTATAGACGCAGTATTAAATGGGATTAATAAAAGGTATTAAACCTATTTTAAAGATTTGAACATATATATGAAGATCAATATGTCTTTCTGCAATTATACATCCAGTATTCAAGCTTCAATGGCCATGGATAAAACTTCTACAGAACGAACCTATAAAAAATAAACTTATAGCGTTATTGAAGAAAAATGCATTGAAAACCCTAGAAATGAATGCAAGAACTGTTAATTTTGAGATATCCTTTTTTTTGATGAGGAAGTATAGAATGGATTAGAGGAGGATAACTTATCTCTATTTTTTGAAGCAAAGGACAAAACAAGTTTTTAATAAGTTCCCCACGTTAAAAGAGTTGTTTATTAAGTATAATACCGTAATTCCCTCATCTGCCCTTGTAGAACGCGTTTTTAGTATAGCTAATGCCGTATTAACTGCCAAGCGTTTCTGTCTATCAAATGAAAATTTTGAAAAATAATTGTTATTAAAAATTTTTTATAAATAAAAATATCTTTTTATTTGCTATATTATATTTTATTTATAATTATATTATCAAAATATAACTATTATTTTTTAAGAAGGCTAATATATTGTGTTAAAAAATATAAAACATTTATTTATATTAGATTAAATTTTAAAAAAATTTATGATAAAATTTTGAACGGTTTATGAACGTGAACGCGTTCGATTTTTTTAGAAATGTTTACAGCACTATTTTAAAATGATAAATTTCTTTCATGATAGGATTAATTACCATTTTAATTTTTAATAAATAATCAAATTATATATCCAGGAAATGGTCATCGATATAGTGGGTGAAGAAAAACTTCCTCGTTATCTCATATACGATATTATTACATTTGAAGTCTGACTGTTTATATATTTAATTAATGTTAATTTAAAATTGATAACATGCTGATTGTGAAAGACTTATGAGATGAGGGTTAAATTTATTAACGCCATTTTTATAATATCAAAATAAGGCCTAAATGCATTTATCAAAATGAACTGTTATCGTTAGCCATAAGGGCTATCAGTGAAATTTTTTTAGAAAGGAATTTTTTTCTCGTTAAAACGGGACTTTAAATATAATAGTAAATCAAATGTATGATCAATGATAGCTTAGGAATTAAAATAGGCATAGCAATTTTGGTGGAGCGAATACGGGAAAATCGAAGAAGATACCGGCATATCTTAACTAGAATCGTCTGCAGTATCAATAGGAGTCGAACATCCAGAAAGATGATGACTATCCCACTAAAATAAAATTTTCTAACACAAGAATGATGTTAGAAATGGCCCAAACCCGCGTACTATATAAGAATAGGATCAGGAAACAAAACCTTATTTTTTTAGATCCGTTGATTGATTAACATAACGAATAAAGAGAAAACTTACAATATATCCTAGATATTTTCGGACATGTGGGAGTAAACAAAATATTTTGTTCAAGGTCAATACAAATCTCATGTGATACACAGGTCCTATAGGCTAATAATGCAAAGAGAAGTTGCTTAAGTTATAAATATTATAATGTGACATTTTTTCACATAACAAGAAAGGAAGAGCCTGGTTTAATTAAATTTAGTTTAGATATCGAATGAAAATGATTTTTTTAAACCTTCGGTAGAAGTTAGTGATGGGTGTTTGTTTGTTTAATTTGGAAGATATTCAATCCAATCAATCGATATCTTCTTTTTTATAGATATAAATAATTGGTAAAGGAATGGAATCGTTTTTTTTTCTGGGATTTATAATTGAACTCTAAAAACCCGAAGGGTCTTATATTTTTCAATTCAAACCGTTTGGCACTGCAATATTGAGGACACGATTTTTATTAAGGGAAAACTTTTTAAAATGTTTCCACTTGCTGTTTGAAACTCGGTTTTCATATTTATATAATTAAAATTATCTCAAGAATTGATCACGGATATTTAATAGTGCCTATGGCTCACTAACTTGCAGGAAATATTCACATCCTGTGAATATTATCTTAGCTATAAATGTTTTAGGAGAATTCTTGAGAAGGTCTAGGTCCTGTTATACCTGGGTGATCTAAAGGGATATGGAAGGGAACTTAAATACAATCCATCATTCACTATCCGGGTTCAGTATAAGACCTTAAGGACCAAATCCTTGAACTTCACTCATATAATAGCCGTTTATAAATCCATTTGATTACAAAAGGATATGCAATTTCACAAATCTATTCTATAAATGCAAGTGTCGATTCGGTACTTATGGTATCGGTCAGTATTGGTAACGCTTTAAATTTCGATACCAATAGGCGGATTCTCAAAAATGATCATTAACCTTTATAGATAAAAAATAATATTTAAGAACATGCCATGAATTTATAATAAAATTCTAAACCGAAAAAAAAGAAGAAAAAAGTGCTGTTAATTTTTATTTCATATTTTTTAATTTAATTTTAAATAATAAATAAATATAAAGTAATGTTGATAAATTATATCAGCTTATTTCTATAAATTCAAATATTATTGCATATTATATTTGATATCAGAGTTTTGATATCGGCTAAAAAGCCATACCAGTACATTTACTGTTCTATAATATTATGGACCTTTGAAATATTATGATTTTTTAAAATTTATAAATTTTCATGTGACAGTCACAAAAGGTTGGCCAAAATATATTTGATATCCGCCTCATATGCATAGATAAGGAGATCATACAGGTCCGAAATCAAGCCTTCTATTCCGGGAAATTGGATAAAACCAAGGAGCCTTTTGGGGTCAGAGCCAAACCCTTTTGGCCTTTGAAAGAAGCCAGGAAGGTTATTTGTTTATTTTTTTACAAATTTAGTTATGATATGATATTGGCAATATGCTTAATCAGGCAATACATGTATTTGCTGACTAATAGCTGGCCAATGGCATAATCGGGGGGGGGGGGGTCCCCCTTCGCAAATTTGTTCGTTTATTGGTCTAAATTTGATAACTGCATTATTTTGATATACTGGGTTGAGTTTTGTAGTGAAGTTAATTATATGTTATTGCTAGAGATATAATTGATAATTCTTAAAACTACCTGAATGACATTTCTAAAATTTTATTATTTAAAAATATTGGGATAATCATATTTTTCGTAAAAAATACAACAGTCAAAAAGCTAGCTTACTCAAATGAATATTCAGAAATATTAAATTATATATAAATTAATGTTCACACTTAATTTATAGGTTATTCATATCATATTTTAAAAGTGTTTTATATTTTAAATGTTCAATTAGAAAATTATTCGTTAAATTACCAAAGTCCACCAGTTCATTTCAAATTCTCTCTTTGTTCATTTTAAAATAATTTCTTCTCCCTATTTTTGATCTGTAACTAATCATAAAAATTATAAATCTAAACGATACTTTTGAAAAAAGAATCTAAGATAGAGATTCAATTATCTTGTTTAAATTTCAAAATAAGTATTTACGATGAGACAACCAATCTATATATCGATTCTAAATTAAATGAATTAAAATATTTATTATTTGTTGTCAGAGTTGGGCGGAACATAGAATACTTGTCTAAGATATAAGATCCTTTTATATCTTGTACTCAATATCTTTTTGACATTTCTAATAAGAGACTAGTATCTGTATCTAAGATCCTTTATTCTGAAAAGAATCTTATATCCTTTTCCTTTTTATTTTCTTGACAAAAGATAGAGATACAGATTCTTTTTAATATTCATGTTTAAAATTTTACATATCACAGTATATATTTTTTTTTTGAGAATCTTATATTAATTTCCTTATTTTTTTCCACCATATTTTAATATATTTACAGCCAAAATTACATGGAAAATACAACTCATATTAATGTAGAAAGATAAAAAATAACAATACCAAAATGAAATAAATATAGATTATATTTTATATATAAATGTAACTCAATAGCATATCATTACCAATTTTACTCAATATTTTTAATTTGTAGGATGAGTAACACTCATGGTAGTGAAGAAGAAGGTAGTGAAATTTAAATTATAGAAATAAGTTCCCCTGAATCATATCAAAATCCTAAAATTTTATGTGGAAATTTTAAAGTTATAAAAGACATTTACAGGTTAGATGTAAAACCTATATAAACAAAAAAATGATAAAGGGTTATACACATATTTTATTAAACATATTAAATTATATTATTTATGTGTAATTAAAAGGGGTAAAAGTTATCTTAAAAATTCAAGTATACAATATTGTCCATCTTTAGTAAAAGCTGCCCAAATGGACACAGATATGGCTTTTTTTGACATCAATATCACATCCATATTTTAAGAACTTATGGATTGAGTGGGATAATAAAACTAAATAATTCAAAATATATTGATAAAAGAAGCCCTAAATGTAGTACCAGAGTATATAATCAAGCTAAAAAAACCATAGGATTAATATCTAATAAAGAAAATGATGATTATTTTTCTTTTGGTGAAACAAATGGTGCTGAGTTCAATAATACAAATAACATTGAGATGGAGGTTTTAAATTATATTAAAGGAAGTCGAAATGTATTATAAATGCTTAATTATTATCCTTCCATTAAGGAAATTTTTTATACATATAATACCGCAATACCATTATCAGCTCCAATTGAAAGGTTATTTAGTTTTGGTACAATATTGGTTTAATAATAAATTATTTGAATAATGATTAGCTTATATTGAATGTATTTTAAATACTCTTTGGCAAATTAATATTTCAACTCCCATTGAAAATACTAGTTTCCCTTCTCATTCTATGCTAATAATGGGCTAATACTAATATTAAAATGCCTGATTATTATAATTAACACATTACAAGTATCTTTTATTTTGTATCTTTTTGATAAAATATACTAGTATCTGTATCTAAGATTCATTTTTTCACAAAGAATCTGTATCTGTATCTAGATTCTTTTTCAATTGTTGTTAAGTAAATTAAAGAATAAATTTAATCAATTATACAAATTATTAATTTAATTACGAAACCTGAATCAGAACTAATAAAAGCTCATATCGTTAAAAAATATTATAGCTACATAAACAAATACACTAATAATATGATTTCTTTGTTTTTTTAAATTATATTTGCATTAGCTCTGGGAAGGAGATTTCATGAAAAATCTGTGTCATACGATGGATGGCTTAATTTTTCAACCTGTATCAGAAGTTGAGTATATTTTACAAATTATACATTCTTCATAAAAAAAAAATTAAATTTTAAGAAAATGTAAAATTGAGTTCCTAAAAAGGAACAATAATTAAATTTGAAAATATTGATTTGTATGTTCTGTCTGAGATGATAGAAATTATCTTGGTCCAGATGCTTATGATTTGATTTTGTGAACTAAATTTTTTATAAAGTTAAAAGTTGAAGATGCGTACTGTGCGTTTGGTGGACATATTGGTGAGAATATAAAATTTCTGAGACTTTTATATTATATTGTAAATTAGAAAAATGAAAAATCTTTTTATGTGTTTATAAATTATATTATTTAATATTTTTGCAGCCCTACAACATGGGAAGATGTGAGGAACTATTAAAATGGAAACCCCCCGAGCTAAATTCTGTTGATTTCAAATTAAAAATCATGAAGGAAACAAATTATGGGTTAAAAAAATTTTTATTGTTTGTTTCCTTATATATTTTGGACATATAAAATCAGTTCATTTTTTGCAACAGGTTGTACAAGGCGAGGGTGAAGGTGGTTGGCATTTTAAATACTGTGCCATTAACAATAATACAAATTATAACATTACAATGATATACTCATGAAATAAATTAGTCGTATATATTGTCTATTTCAAGTTTCTCGAAGTTTTGATCTTACCGTAAAACAATTTATAATAAACTTGGGATTTTTCATTTTTTTTCTCGTGATGTATATTGTCAAAGATGAACAGTAGCTAGAGCTAAGCTACAATTATAATTAGGGTTGCTAGACCCACTGAAAGGAAAATAATTATCATTAATGGAGTAATAACTGAGGTAAAAGGAGATGTGGCTATTCGAAATAACCTTCGTTATATTGTTATATTTTAATATGTCACAGCTCAACTTTGCACTAGGTTAAAAGATCACAACACATGATTAGTCGTGCCCAATCTCTGTTTGATTTATTTCATTTGCCTATAGTTCATCAGCTGTATGACACAGCTTGACTCGCCCTAAATATCTGAACTTTTACCTAGCTACAGATTGAACATTCAGATTACTTGGGTAGCATGAAACTCCAATGTTCATTGGTCCACGGTAATAAGAAATTGATTTAATCCACGATGACTTCTCCCGCTTGGTTCTCAGGGTTTTCCCTCTAAAAATTATATCCTAAATTTTGTCATCATAATTCACTATCTTTTTTTATTGGAGAATAGCTTATAACTTTACTATAGTTTAACTTTATTTTTATTTATTTATATTAGATCGCTACATTTTTAAAAACCGATAGTTACTTTAATATATTTTTACGTGACAATTTTTTTTAATTAAACGTTTTATTTGTGTTTTTCACTGACATGTCCCAGCCCAATTGGCACCCTTATTTAAAAAAAATTAAATCATTAATATATTATTATAGCAGGTTTCGTGAATCATTCTAAATCGATTTATATTCGAGAAAAAGATATGCTATAATCAGCGGATTCGTTAAATTTTATTTAGGACATAAATTAAATTAATTATTGCATATTCCCGTTTTGCGCACAAAGATAAAATTATAGAGTAATCATCTAACACTATATGATCGGAAATTTTTTATAATATCAAAATGAAAACAATTTTTTTTGAATATGTCAAGTCAACTATGTTTTCCCAAGATTTGGAAGAACTAGAAATGCACCAATACCATCTTTGTAGTCGATACCTATAGCATTGATACTAATACAATATAGGCCGATACCAAAAATAATAATAAAGTATATTCATTGAAAAAAAGCAAATATATAATTTATCATTATTATCATGTATAATTAATTTATGAAATTTGCAAACTAAATTAAAGAAATAGGAAATAAAGATTAACAGCCATTTCTTTTTTATTGGTTTAAAATCTTTTTTAAAAAAATCATAGCATAATGTTGATTGAATTTTTTTTTTAATTTATGAAGGATAATTCATTTCTGAGTATCGACCACTGGTATCTTTTAAAATATATAGTAATACTGGCCGATACCATATTGGTGCATCTCTGGAAAAAAACGAATAGAATAATTCTTTTTGCTTAGGTCTAGCCCATATCAAGCAAGAATCAGTAAAATCAAATTAATTGGGTGCTTCACGTTGTTCTCAGCCAGGGCCATGTGGACCCTTAAATATTTTATGCCCCTTAAAATTGAAAATTTACTAATTGTCTTTTTTGGCATTTGAAGTAGATTTTAATTTATGAAATTATAAATATTACATAAATTAATTCTCTAAAATGTTTATTAACGAATCAAAATTTAAAAAGTGATTAATCTAGTATTAGTTCATGAGGATAAGATTACAGAAAAAATATGACTGAAATATGCAATTTTTAAAAAGTGCCCCCCCCCCATCTCACGGCAATTTTAGTCACAGCCCTAATTTATCATATATCCGATCAAGGGGACAATAAAAATTTATAATGATCTTACTAAAGAACTCTATGTCTAATATCAAAATCCTTTTCGAAAATTACAGTAAATCAGTATATAATTTGCCATATTAAGAAGGTTTTTTTTATTAAATAAAATATTTAATATGCATTAAAAAAATGGTACAAAATATTTTTTAAACAAAAAGTAAAAAAAAAACATACTAGAATTTAAAAATAACTTTCATTTTATTGAATAATGCATAAAATTATACTTCAGGAATAGGTTTTAACCTCATGTTCATTGTTTAAAAATACCGACTTTGCAATTGTATTAACCTAATCAATTTATTATTAAAAGTTGTATCCCCAAAAAGGAACAATAGTTATAATTAAAAAAATTTTAATTTTAATCCGAATTGCCTTTAATAAAATTTATAATTTTTTTTGCTTATTTTAAAATTTGATTGCTCTTTGTAAAAATAGTCATTAATTGATGTAACTTTCGGGTAAACTCTATTTTTTTTGTTTCCAAGAAAATGAGTGCGTTAACGTTGATATTTGAGGGAAGTGATGAGACAGTCCTAGATTGGTTATTTATGACGCCTAAAGAATTATTTTAAGGCCATCAAGTTTTGTGTCCATTTTTGGGGGATAGTTACTGGGATCAAAATGATTAGGTATGTGAGCAGGTGTTAGCCAGGATCGATTATATTATCTATAGCTGGGTGGTGCCATATAAACAGTTTAACTATGTATATTCTTATACTGGCAAGATTTTAACACAATGTTGCACAATGTCAAACCAATGACCACCCAAATGTTAATCTGTTAATAGATTGCTAAGGTTACGATTAAGGAGTGCTTTTAGCCATTCATGCACTACAAGTCTATCATTTGGCTGAAGTATTGGATAGAATCGAATAATGGGCTGGCTGAAATGGTTGTATTTTTTATCAGGGGGAGACCGGAGCCTTACGTTAAGTTGGGTAAGAAGGCAAATATCTATAACCTTTTCATTTTTAGAGCGAATTGTTTCAAATTTTTTCATAATGTATTTCTATACACCTTATTTTCATTTAATAGTAAGAGCTCCGTATTCAAAAAATATTGATCAAAAAATAAATTTTTAGCCCTTTTGTAACATTTTTTTAAAGTATCTTGGCTTTAAGTCAAAGGTATTCTCTCAGATTAATTTCCTCAATGTTTAGGTTCTTTATTGAACTTAATCCGGATAGCTTATCTGGAAATGTTTCTAGAGCCATTTAAGCTAAACTACCCCCGGGGTAAAGCTTCAGGGGTAAAATGGCGAATAAAATAGAGAAGGGCGCACAAAAAAAGGATCATTCCTAGTACAACTGATTCACACTCAGCACATTTGGTAAACTGTATCCAATCTTCTCACTTTTTACTATTGTTATAACTTTTACTCAGGGCCAGTTAGGAATTTTCAGTTAGGGGGACCAGCTGCTTACTTAGGGGGGCCACTATTTTTTTAAAAATAAAACAAATATTTAAGCATTCATAGAAATTTTTTGCTATTTTTATTAAAAAATTATTAATGTTATATGAATACAAAATAATACTATAATATGAACATACAAAATAATACTATAATATAATACGACGATTTTTTATTTTTAACATAAATGAATTAAAGGATAAATTTTGTGTTAATTTTTTTTTCATAAGTCATCAATACTAAATTTTGCTTACATTTGATCTTTCATCGACCCTCTAGTGCTCGATAGAACTCTCTTTATTATAGAGAAAGTAGCCACACAAGCCGTTGGTCGATGATGGCTGCTGAGTAGCATTTATACAATTCTTTAAATGCATGATGATATTTTTTTATACATAATATTTAGGTTATTTCCAAAATTATGTGTTTCATTAACTTCTGCAGCTAATAATCCTTTAGCTATTTTCATTTCATGATGTAAAACTTCAAATTTAAGTTTAATAATTATTCTAATCGGGTCATTTTGTCTGATATAAAATAATCACTATCAAAGGGGGACAATGCATTAAAACTTGATAGAAGATTATAATCATCTTGTGTAAATCTATATAATAAATTATCAACAAAGTAATCAATTCCTTTTTAAAACTCTAATTGGAGTTTTTTTCACAATCAAATTATAATTTGGTCTCGACTAAAAAATGTTGAAATATAGGCGTTTTACATATTCTTGATGATTTGTGGTGAGTGAGATTAAATTTTGCTAAAAGTTTTTCAGCCTTTATTCTAATCAAATCAATAGAATTATTGCTTCTTATATTTTTTTAATATATTGATAGTGGAATCAATACAATTTTTAGCATCCACTTGATAAGTACCTACTGACTGTAGATACTTATTTAGTGGATCTATAGTTATTATATCTCATAAATTATAATGGCTAATATAATGTATTATATATTGACGCATTGAGATAAAAGACCAGAGGCTTCGACTGAATCATGAGTGGAAACCTCTGAATTAAGAGTTCTATTAGAAAAGTAAACTAATACTTCGCCAATAGCCTCAAAATTAACATAAATGATGCGAGATGTTTCTAAATGACTAGTGCACATTTGGTATAAAAGTCTCTTAAGAGTATGACCTGCATATTTATAGGATACGTTAAACTGCCTAAAAAATTATGCAATGCATTGAATAAATTTAAAAAAATTAGAAATGATAACAATATTATTATACCAATTTTGAACCACAAGATGCAACATGTGGTTGTAGCAATTTATAAAAGGAACTTTTTATTAATTCTTTTTTGAAGTAGAGTTTTTTTTAAAAAAATTTTCAGGCCCGGCCCGGCTAGCCCAGCCCGAATTTTTTAAAATAAATTATATTTATAGCTAATAATGGCGATTTCAAATATTTGGTTTTAAAATATACAACTCGGCTCGGATATTTTTTCTTAAAAAATTTTCAGGCCCAGCCCGGGTGTTTTTTTTAAAAAAAATTACGAGCCCGGCCCGAGTATATTTAAAAAAATTAAAATTCGGGGGCCGGGCCTGCAAGTCTATGAAAAACATACCTATGAAATACAACATCTGAAAGTAGATTGAATGATTTGGATCTTTTGAATATTCATAGACATTAAACGCCAAGCAAGGATTGATAATTGAAAAATTAGCTCAAAACATACAAAATACAATTATTCCTAAGAAACTTTTTGTGTATTAATTTATATTTACAACATTTAAATTTTTTATACTTTATATATTTTAAAAGCTCAAAAAATTCAAATTTCAATTTTGGGTCATTTAAGTGATTCATATCGTGGGTTATATTCACTTTATATTTTATGATTCACATTTAAATGCCGGTTTATATATATAATTTTTTTAATTCACATTAGTTTAAAATTGTGTATTAGAAAAGTTATTAATCCTAATAAATTTATGCTTAGTATTTTTAATTAAAAATATTATTTCTTAAAAAATTTATTATCCCCCCCCAGACCAAATTCCTGCGTACGCGCCTGCTCTGGATGACTCTAATCTATCTGGTTTAGTACTAAAAACTTCCATTATACGTGTAATTTTGTTCTTTTCAACCTTTTTTTGAATTAAATCCTTCATTTGTTCATAAGATAAATTATCAATCGAATCCATTATACTCACCGCCAAATTTTATTTATTGTCTCGAACAGTTTATACTTCTTAGTCAGTGACCCCTACACTTTTTGAGGGATAGAAGCAGAATACCCCCCTAAAGTACCCCCCCCCCATTGTAAATTATTTTTTGACACCAATAAATTTCAAAAATAATTTTTATTGCATCAATATTTGTAAAAAATATATGCTTTAAAAATATTATTTTTAAATTAATAATTTAGATAAATTAGGGGAAGAGAAAGCAAAAGAATTTATAATTTCATCAATATTTAATTGTTTAAATAAATTATTTTCCATTGATAAAATGGTTAAATTATTAAGAAATGGATCTTTCATGACACTACGAAGTCTTGTTTTAATTTTACTCATGACCCTTTCGGCAGTACATGATGTAGTAGGAATAGTTAATAAATATTTATATAAAATTGTTAAATTTGGGAAAGCAGAAAAATTTATAAGCAGACGATAAGGTAAAATAAATGAATAGTTTCTCCAGTCTGAATCATTCATCTCAGAATTATTATCATCATCAGAAGAAGCTAAATAATGTATTAGTAAAAATATCTTAATTAAATAAATTTACAATTCTCAGAATCTGACAAATCTTCTTTAACCTCTAGGTCACGAGTAATAATTACGTCCCCCGTTTTAGCCATTTTATAAATATTTCTAAACATCAACATTTCCTCAAAAACTTGACTTGTATTTAATTGATAAAATTCACAGATATCCTTGATATCATCTTTAACAATTGCCTTTTCCGCCATTCCCTTTGGGGTAAAAAATGATGTTTGACTCAAAAATTTTATCGATTCATCGTTAAATCTTTCACTAAACTGCATATCAAGTGCAGCATAAAACACACTGATTTTAAAGCTAAAATAAAATATTATATTTAATGATGAAAGTATATATATACCTCTCCTTTTTGGATTGTAATGTTTGAAGTCTTGAACTTTCAAAATCAAAAGGTAAATTTCTCTTCTTTATAAAATCTTGGGCCTTTGAAAAGACATCCAAAAATTCAGTGTTATTATCAATTTTAGGATTATAAAATAATAAAAGATAATAATTTAAATTATACTTCTCATATTAATCACGCAATCTTTTGCCAATTGAATTTGATTTATTGCAAACCCTATATCCTTCGAAATGGTTTGCAATTTTGTACAAGCCAAGCTTGTTATCAACAATATTTTATCCAAAACACATAGTGATAAAATAAAATAAAATTTTTCTATTCTATAGACTATAGCACTAGCCATAGTGGAAGTGGCAGGATCTTCGGAATCCTTTAAATTTGCCAAAGCTGCCCTCAAAGCATCATAAAGTTGGAAAAAATTTACAATCGCCTTATATGATGTTAGCCAGCTTCTATAAATATAAAATAAACATTATATATCAAAACAATTAAGATAATATTACCGGTATTCTTGATGCGTAAAAATCTATGTGATTTTGTCAGTAAATCACTCTGACATGTTTTGAGCACTTCATATCTTTTAACACCATTAAAATATACGTAAATTTCGTCTAATATTCCCAAGACATTTCGCAGCTCTTTTACTGATTGGCATAATTGAACAACTATTAAATTTAATCGATGACAATAGCACCAAATAAAAGCTGCCTTTGGCGCCTCCGCTCTAATCAAAGCCTGCACTCCATTAATTCTTCCACTCATGTTTGAGGTGCCATCATAGCTTTGCCCCACTAGGAATTCGAGGGGTAGATTCATGGAGCCAAGCTTGGATATTATATTCTTTTTAATATCGAGGCCCGTTGTATTTCCCGTACAATAAATGTCTAATCAGCCTTTCAACGGGCTTAGGTGTCTCGCTATTTTCAACATATCTTACTATCAAAGCTATTGCTTCTGATTTCGATACATCATATGTGCCATCAACTATAATTGAATAGCACCTGTTGAATTCAATCTCCTTTTGAATTTTTTTTATAACCATATTTTTCATGGTTTCAATAAGAATATTTATGTTATTATATAACAGATTTGAATATAATTTAGATTTTAATCCCTTAAATTTTTTCTCACTTCTTTCTTCATTATCTTGTATATACATTTTAAGAACAGGCTAGAATCCGCAATAAGTTTAATAAGGCTCATCATATTGCCATCTTAATTTTTAATCAAGTATTTATATTTTTTTGGTTAATATTTTTGGGCATATTTTGACAATGATCTTGAAATTATAAATGATTATATATAAAATTAAATATTTAAATTTTTACTATTCCCTTTGATAAAATTTTAATTTTGCGCCAAATCTTGAAAGTGGAAAAATAATTTTATGATAAGAAATATCGGATAACAAACTAATTTGCTAAACATCGACCATAAAAATTTTTTAAAAAATAAATAAAAAATTTTTAAAAAAAAAAAAGTACCCCCATAGAAATTTATAGAAGCAGTTGCTTCGGACCCCCCCCCGTTGTAGGGGTCACTGTTCTTAGTAGGTTCATCAGTTATGTTTTCGGAAATAAATTTTAGGTCAAGGGTTTTGAGTAAGACTTTAATGTTATTATTACTATCCTCCACCATATTGAACAAATATGGTAGTGTTCAATTTAGAATAACTTTATTAGAAAGTATTAATCCAGAATAATTTATTATAATCGAATTGAGTAATTGTATTAAAATATAAGAAAAGAAAGTGATTATTTTATTGTGTGTATTTTAACCAAATCTCAATATATATATATCGTAATATATAATTTATGGTAAAATAAATTGTGGCTAAAGGCTTCGTATATAAAAATACAATAATATATTATTAAGTGTAACTGACATTTTAAATATAAGTAATAAAATAATAGCGTACAAAAGAGCACATGCAACAGGGGGGGGGGGGCGGAAAAATATATGGGGGCCATTTTTGGGAGCCAAAGATTTTTTCTGGGGCCATGTTTGAGGGTCAAAAAAAATTTTCGGGGGTGCTTTTACTGCACAATATACAATTCCAATCTTGCTTTTAATTTTTTTATAACGTACTTCAAAATAGTTTATCTCTTTTTCTATCATTACAAATATAATCAGATTCTGTGAAAATATCTGGACAGAGACCTGCAGAGGCACCATTTGCACGGCCCGGCCCGGTTTTAAATTTTTTAGGCCCGGCCCGGCCCGTATATTTTTTAAAAAAATTTTTACGGCCCGGCCCGGATATTTTTTAAAAAAAAATTTCAGGCCCGGCTCGGAATTTTTTAAAATTATATTCGACCTGGTATATATAAAAATTCACCTATGAGGTATTTTACCATATTTTTCAGCGAGTATTATCGCTTATTATTTAAAAAATACATGTAAAAAGTAAATATTTTGAGAATATTATATTGAATTTATAAAAATTATAAAACTGTTATTTATAAAATGGATATTTTGAGCATATACTATATTTTATATTGCAAAAAATTCGCTTTGATGAGCCGCCCACCACTCTAACAAATTATCCACCTTAAATGTTTCATCTATTTTTTTATTTATGTAATTATAATACTCATCATCGGGTATTGACATATTACCAAAATTACCATCGCCCCATTTGTAATAAAACGATTCAGTTTGTTTAACAACAGTCGTAATTTGACTGGTCGATGGTATTTCATTTACTTCCTGAGCCTCTTGTAATTTAATATTATCTTTTATATAGTTTTCCGTCATCTTGCGATCTGTCCCTGACAACATACTTAATTGCTTGAATTTGGGACAGAGAAAAAGATAAATAAAATGATACTTGTGTAAAACAAATTTTTCAATTAAAAAATGCTTTATATTAAGTAAAATCAATTTTGCTTTGAAAGGTATTACAAACTTCAAGAAGTGATATTCCTTTATTTGATTGTTTTGGTAAAATATATTCTAAAAATTTAGATATTAATTATTAAAAAATATATTAATAATACTTGAATATTGGGGCTTATTTAAGATATTCCTTTATTTGATTGTTTTGGTATATGTTGTAAAAATTTAGATATGAATTATAAAAAAATATATTAATACTTTAAATAAATTTGCAGGAAATTAATAATTAAATCGATCTGTGGGTGTTAGGTAGTGTTAACCATCACCCAATATTATATTAATCATAACTATAATATAATATAATCTTATAACCATTAACTCATAATGTAAAAATTTTTATAAAAAATATTAAGGCCCGGCCCGGATATATTTAAAAAAATTTTTTTAGGCTCAGCCCGGATATGTTTAAAAAAAATTTTTTTAGGCCCGGCTCGGGTATATTTAAAAAATTTAAAATACGGGCCGGACTTAGGGCCGGGCCTGCAGGTCTCTGATATATATCAATCGGTTTTTTATTATTTGCACCCAGATCTATATCAGAGACCTTCAAAGGATAATAATATTGTGATTGAACCATAATATATAAAATAATTATCATTGAAATAAGTACAACTTAAACGTTATAATTAAGCGCCTATATAATGTTATACACAAACACACGTGAAAAATAAAATACGAATGAATGATGATTTATTATTGGAAAAAAATAAAACAGGATAGGAAGAAATTTACAAACAAGACATGTTTTTTGGATAAATATTTAAAATTTATTTTAAAAATATAAAAATAATCAATTACAAAAAAGTTTTTAAATTGGGGGGGGGCGGAAAAATATATGGGGGCCATTTTTGGGAGCCAAAGATTTTTTCTGGGGCCATGTTTGAGGGCCAAAAAAATTTTAGGGGGGCCCCCCGTGGCTACGGCCCTGCTTTTACTGTACAATATACAATTCCAATCTTGCTTTTAATTTTTTCTATAACGTACTTCAAAATAGTTTATCTCTTTTTCTATCATTACAAATATAATAAGATTCTGTGAAAATATCTGGATTTAGAGGGAATATTTTACAGGCTAAAAACCCACTTGAAATACCCCAACATTGGATCTCATCCAATTAGCTAAAGATGCATTATAAAATTTTAAAAGGGCTATAAACTGTTACGGTTAGAGCTTGTATGAGCAAAGATTTTTCCTAGGAAAAAATATAAAGATCATTTTTTAAATAATCAGCCAATCGGCCCAAAATCTGTTGGGAATACATCGAGATGGATGCAAGAATCCGAAATCATAATTTTTTGGGACATTTTTATAAAGTTATTAGTTATAATTGCAAAAATAAAGTATTACTCATTTTAGATAACCATACATCACATTGCTCAATTACATCAATAAATTTCTGTCGCAATAACGGTATTGTAGCTTTGACTCTTCCTCCTCATTGCTTTCACAAGTTTCAACCGTTGGGATAATTTATGGCCCTTTTAATAAATTTTATAGTGCAGCTTTAGATAATTGGATGAGATCCAATGTTGGGAAACATTTCGTAATATACGATATCCCTAATATTGTTAAGCAAAATTTACCTAGGGCTACGTCTCCACAGAATATTTTAAGTGAGTTTATAGCCTATATAATATTCCTTCTAAATTCAGATATTTCCACAGAATCTGATTATGATAGAAGAATCAAACTATTTTGAAGGACGTTATTTCTCTCAATGATACTCGGAGTGATAATATAAATATTGAAATCATGATAATGATATTGAAATGCTATTAAATAATAATATTCCTTCATGTTTTTATAGATTTAATCCAAATTCAATTATTCCAATGCCGAAACATTATATTCCTATTGATAAAAAGGGTCAAAAATAATTATCTTGTCTCCATAAAAAAAAAAAATGTAAAAACGATAAAAATATTTAAAAAAATAAGATTGGAATTGTATAGTGCAGTAAATGTTATATTAAAAAAAAGGAGAAGATTGGATTCAGTGTACCAAATGTCCTGAATAGCCACATTCTAGTTGTGCTAGAAATGATCCGTAGTTAATTTTTACAAAGTCGTTAGATAGAGATTATATTTTAATAATCAAATCAAGCGTAAAAAAAATAAGGAATTAAAAATTAAAGTGAGTTAATTCAAAATTTATATTAGTATTTTTTAGATCAATAGGTAAATTGAGATTTAACTTATAACAATAAAAATTAAAAAATATATGTAAATTTGATATTTGCCATCTTACCCATGGTCGTTGGTAAATAGCAAAAATTTTTACATTTATTTAAACCTTAGACCATACTAAAGAAGGTATAAAGCCCGTGCTTATTTTATTTTGTAGTCTAATAATGAGGCTATCTTTTGGTATAATTAGTTTCATCTAATAATTAAAATTTTATCAGAAAAGAGCAAAACACCTGGTCCCGGTCTTTCCTTATAGCTTATGTGTATTTCATTTTCATGTGGTCAATATAATATAACTTATTTAGTCTATTCTAATATAATGTACAATTAAATTTGTCGAAAATAATGTTAATTTCACATAATATGATATTTTCAGAATTTGTTATACTCTCCAAATTCGTCAAAACTATCAGGTTTATTTCATCAAAAAAAGGATGAATTTTTAACTATAATCAAGCAATAAACAACATAGAAAAAATGTGTAATTATATATTTTCGATTCCCTACTCAAATGCTCCTAGCTAGAATTTTAATTTGAAGAGTTCGCAAAATTTATTTCCAAAGATAAGAAACTTAAATTAAATAGTTCTTCCGATAAATAAATAGGTAGAGATTTATATTTAATATTTTTTATATTTTGGCTTTGTAAATATGCATAATTATCAAATGAAGATTTGTGAATTCGTAATTTGACAAAAAAAAATATATATTGAATAAAATGGTAGCGCTTATCCCGCTTTTTTAAAATCATATTAATCATTAATTACTTTTAGAATATGGTAGGTCAATGTGTTATCCTCTGGACCTCCCAGACACAATTTTTAACAAATTTGAAAAAAAAAATTAATTTATGTGTAATTAAAAAAAATAGGACAATAATCTGATATTTTGCCTTAACACCGTTGCTGGACATTTAATTGATCAACACAACAATGAACATAAGAACTTTTTATCATTAAATCGTTCTATAATGAAGAAACATAATGCGGATATGGCTAGTGGGGGGGGGGGTCCTTCTGGCAAATTTGTATCTTCTTAAATATCATAATTTATGCTTTTTCCAAACAATATTATTTACCTGTTCATTGGGATATTCAAACTATTTTATTTATAATCTTTAAGCATGATTCCTGAATTCAAAGGATATTTATACGTAGGCGGTTACGATAGACCCTTCTCACAAATTAAAGTTTAATATTATGAAATTTTTAAGCCTACATTTAATATATAAATTCCTTGCTAAAGGTTACGAAAGAGCTTAAAAAATATCACGACAAAATAATCGAATGCAAAGTCGAAGATAAACTCTGGAAATTTATGAAACAAAGAACTGACAAATCTTTCCCTAATCATATATCAACAGTTAAAGGTGTGAATTCTTATATTCTAAAAAATATGTTTTATATATTTTAAAAATATAGGCGTATGGGACAGTATACAAAATCCTATAACGTCGAAAATTTTATTTTCTTACATCGATTCTCATGCATTTAGCACCGGTAAAGATATGCCGCAAAAATCAATTCCTCTTAGTCACGATATTATCGATAAATCAAATGCATAATTTTTATATAAATGTAATATATATAGTATATGTAAAATAAAGTTGTTAATTGTATATTCTTAATTGTTACATCAAAATGCTTTATTGCACATTGATGAATGTGTACCCGGTGATGGATATAATAAATTTTTTTGGTACTTTAAAAACATCTTTCCAGGTTACATTCACCTTTGTGTAAATAATTTGGCTTTCTGTAGTTGCTGATTAAAGAAGAAAATATTATCGAGATCCCATAAGGGATGAGTGTGGATCTAGTCATGATTATTTCTTTTTAATATTACACATGGCACTAGAAACACAAACATCACTCATAGAACTCTGTATTTGTAGTTGGAGGGATGAGATTGTAGAATGGAATCTTAAATGTCTTCATGGCAGTTGATGATTGTCTTTATGGAATTCTATAATTTAAATTTTCCTAAAAAAAGCAAGCTATTTTAATTTTATTTTATTTTTGGTAATTAATTAAAATTACTATATTTTATAAAATATGCAAATAAAACAAAGATAAAAAAAATTCTTTTATTTAAAACACTAAAACAAAGGAATTGGAGGGAAAAATTATTTTTTTATAAGATGGAGTAAAAAATAATAATTGGACTATAAATAAAGAGACATTTTCAAATATGTCATTTGTTTGCGTGGTCAATCATGCTTAGAGAAATAAACAAAAATGTCATTTTTTAAAATCAATTATAATGTTAGACATCTATTGTCAACCCCCTCCACCCTCATTTTTTATTTAAATTATTTTATAACGTCCATAGTTTTTATTCTACTATATATTATTTATAAGGACAAAATGTGGTATATATAAATTTTATTTTATTATGGTGTTTTTTTTTAATAAAAATTAACAGAAGTTGCTTGTGAAAAAACTACATATAAAAATGGTTTAAATTTTATAATTTTGTTTGGAGGTTTGCCAAATTAAGTTTTTTTTAAAAGTTATTTTATCCCCCCCCCCCCCCATCAAATTAAAAATATTTACATTTTTAAATTGTAAAAACAACATATTTGTCTCATTGCTTCAGCCATTTTTATAAAAATATTTTTTTAATTTAATTTTTTTTCTTCTATAAATATGGTATCAACCTTATTTTTCCTTAATTGAATAGAATAAATTAACTGATAGTAGTTAAAAGGGTTTTGTATAAATTAAAATTATGAGTAAATTAATTTCTAAAACTGACTTTAGGCGATGATTTAAGAATTTTCTTTAGGAATTAGGAACTGAATAATTCATTTAAATGAACTATATTATTTACAATATCTAGTATACTATTTTAAAAAATATGAGTTGAGTTTAAAATAAAAAAAACTGGACACAAAAATTCTTGAATAGCTAGCCTTGATTTAAATTAAATGTATAATATATAAAATAGTTTGATTGGTTCCTATATTAACAATTTGAATATCAAAAAAAATTAACAAGCTTAAGGACATACATATAAAATAGTCGATTAAATGGTTTTATAGAGGTCAATTTTGAATTAAGTATTGTCTATTTAAAATGGTTTAAAACTGTTTTATTTTTTCTTAAATACAAATTTTTTGACCTAAAATTATAAAACTATGTTTTCAATATAAAAATATTTACAGCAAATAAGTTATAAATGGTAAAAAAAATATTTTTCTTCATTTAATACTTATATAAATGTAAATTAATATGCCAGAGAACTAATTTGATATAATTTTGCTGGATTTACTAAGATATTCTAATTAGGCTTCCGTAATCAAATTGTTTTATAACTGCCCTCTCTTGGGAGACTTTTCCGGAAATTTGCTTTCAATTTCCAATTGCTCCGCCACTTCTCGATCTATTTTATTAAAAATAAAATTATCAATCCTTGGAAATAATCGTTCACACAAACCCTAGAGCTTCAGAAACGTTGTTACTTAAAATCCTGTATATATGGAAAATTAAGTTAAAATTTTAAATCAGCTCCCGAAATAATTGAATTAGAAGTTTTTTTAACTTGTTATTAATGATAAAAATTCATTTTAATTTTTTTGACGTTCTATATAAATCATGGCTATTAATAATTAAGATATAGCAGTTATATTTGGATCCTTATTCCCCACAAATATTCACGTTATTTTTTATAATGAATAATTTCTAAAACAGAAGACAATGAAAAATCAAGTTTGCATTGTTTACAAAGTTTATTTTATTCAAAATGGTGTACCACGTTATTGTGCGGATAATTTAAATTTTTTTATTGAAAGGTTTTTTGCTTTATCTTAGTTTTATATTAAGCGAAAAAAATGTAGCGCCCTAAAGGCTACCATTTTTATAAATTAGCCGATACTTTTTATTAGTGCTGTGAAGTAACGTCAAAAAACTAACGATATTACTTTTTTGAAGAAAAGGAATGCCATTCGTTACCTTCGAGGTAACGGTAACGCGTTTCTTTATACTTGATGGCATATATGAATGGCTGCACCAGTCCTATCACTAGGACTTTATTTGGTCCTTTTGAATTTGTGCTGACCCAAGGATCCTTCGCTCTAATAAATGATTACCCTCTATTAGTATTTAATAGGGGTGAGCGTATACTTTTTAATTATAGGGGGGTGATTTAGAAATTCAAAATTTTCTATGTTTGGAGGTATACGAGCGGTAAGGCAAGCTATTTCTTATGAGTTAATTATAAGATTTATTTTTTTACTAATAGGGTTAGTAGTAATAAGTTATAATAACGGTAACGCAAAACGTTACTTGTTACTTTATATTTTGTCTTAAAAAATATCAACAAAAAGAAAAACATATTTTATTGTATTATAAAATTATTTTTATTTATTTTTTAATTCTTAATATAAATATTTAAGCCGAGTTTTAATTCATATCAACCACTTCTTTCATTTTTATTTAAAATTCTCGTTGATAAATTTTCTATCGAAATTAATATTCAATCAAAATTTAAAATAAATGTTAATAATGATATTATTATTTTCATAATTTATTTTAAGAATATTATGTCCATAGTACTTCTTCAGGTGAAGATGATTAACCCTTCTCTGGTCCCAATTTGAAATATATTTTAAACCAATAAAGAAAATTAATAGTACCAAGTCTACACTTTGTAAATAATTATATCCCAACACAAATATTTCAACCTCAACCAGCAGTTCAAACTTAAAAAAGCATTTAGAGGTAAAAAAATGAATTTTACTTTAATAATAGAATAGTATTCTTTCATAATATTTTGAAAAGTTTAATCATGGAATCAAAATATAAATAGGGCTGTGCCGATATTAAATATCGGATTGAATCGGCTACGATATTAAGCGTTTTCCAAAAATATCGGATCGGGCCCATACCTGTAAAAAACCGATCCGGTTTCTTTACTTTTCTTTTTTTTGTTATTTTATGTTCGGCTGTGTCCTAAATATCAAATATTGCATAAAAATTATATCACGCAATTTGCGCGAATCTAGCGAAAAAAATTATATAAGCCATTTTTGATGAAAAATTAAAATGTTGGATAATTTTTTCGATTTTGAGCAAATTACGTGATTCTTAAAAATTTTACGATTCGTAAAACTTTAATCATTTTATCATTAAACTTTTGCGAATTGAGGGAATAAAAATGGCGAACGAATATCAATTGATGAAAAATATAAGACCTTATAGACATAAGTGGTGTAATAGTGAATATAGAGATACAGCTGCAAGTAAAGTCAAATGGGGAGAGATTATATAAATATTATTTTATATTTTAGGTTCAGGAGCTGCTATGATGAACAGCAAGCAAATTAAATTTTTTTGAAGATTTTTACTGGCTAAAAGAAAATGTGGAGGATATATGTAAGTATACCTAAAACGAATTATTTGTTATTCGATTCGTATTTTACGAATACGAATAACACAATTATTCGATTCGAAAATTCGAATCGAATTCGAATAAAGAAAATATATTATTCGTCGAATAATTTTTTATCTATTATTCGTCGAATAATTTTTTATCTATTATTCGATCGAATTATTCGACTAAAATAATTTATAGTATTAATATATATTGGAAAATAATAATATATAAATCATATTATTATTAGGAATTATTTCAATTTAATAAAATCTCCTAGTGGAATAATGAAAATTGCGCCAAATTTTGAAACTCCATTTTAATTTATCTCATAATAGACCATTACTATAGAAATTTCTTTTATGATAGAGTTGGACGAAGAAGGTAATTTATATAACACATAACATATACAATTATAATAAACTGTTAATCCCATCACATCAAGAATGACGGGCAAACCTGATATTTCTCTTTCATTTGATGATGGAGAAATCATAAATTTGACTTTTTGCCTAAAGTTTTTACCACTTTATTTGTAAAATATTGCTAATGTGAGTTTTTAGTACTTATTTAAGTTGCATAGCTTTTTGACAATTTATTATTTCCCCACATTAAAAAGAATATTACTTTGACTTATATATTATTTTAGTTTATGTTAATAACAACAAAGTAGTGTTTGGGATTAAAGATCATCATTGAATCTCAGTAGGAATATCTTATTTCCCAAATCAAATAATCTAAAACTTTCATTATTTTACTATGAATCAAAATTCACAAAAATTTATATTATCTTTATAAAATTATATTCTTGATTCTTGTCCCAATATAATTAAACTTTATGAACAGTGTTTGGAATTAAAACCTATAAATCCAAATCATTTTTGTAAAAAATATTTTGTAAGTAAATCTATATAAAATTTAATATAATTACATGTAATAGTATTTTTAAACTTAAAACTTTATTTTTCATTTATATCCAAATTCACTAAAATATATATTATAATTTTGTGATAAATTTTTTATAAGCTATCATCTCATCACATTTCTGGATAATTTATCAATTGTATGAGCAGTTTGTAAAAAATATTTTATAAGAAAATTCTGATATGATGATTATAGGATCTGATGATTTTGACATATATATATTACTGACTAACTTATTGATTGCCATATTGGGTTGGCTAGCTATGC